ATCATTATCTATCTATCTATCTATCTATCTGTTCATATCTATTTACCTGTCTATCAGTTTGCTTATATCTATCTATCTATCTATCTATCTATATATATATATATATATATATATATATATATATATATATATATATATATATCTGTGTTCATATATATGATATATATATATATATATATGTTTGTTCATATACATTTATCTCTCTCTCTCTCTCTATATATATATATATATATATATATATATATGTTTGTTCACATATCTATCATCTATATCTATCTGTCTGTGTTCATATCTATATATCTAAGTATCCTAAAATATCTATCTTAATCAATTCATTATCTATCTATCTATCTATCTATCTATCTATCTATCTATCTATCTATCTATCTGTGTTCATATCTATCTCAGTATGTTCATATCAATGTATATGTCTATCTGTCCATCTATCTATCTATCTATCTATCTATCTATCTCTGTTCATATCTAGCTATCTCAGTCTGTTTATATCTATCTATATGTCTATCTGTCCATCTATAATTATCTATCTATCTATCTATCTATCTATCTATCTATCTATCTATCTATCTATCCTTTTATGTTTATATTTATCGGATTAAACAGCATATGAATGTGTTTGATTTTTGTTTTATAGCTTTGTTTTTTGGCTGCATGGAAATATCAAATCCTATTTTAAAAGAAACTTTCTACTTTTCCCGAATCTGTAAAGAAAGGCTTCATAAGAAAGGGAATTTTCCACTGAATGCTAAATCCTTCGCTGTTAATGAAAAATCCGATGAGGAAGCCAGTATCAATGTACATCCTAATGTAAATAATAGAATGGCATTAGAGAAGCAAGTAAACCAAAAATAAGTTTCCTGCAGATTTGACGCCATTCTCTCCAAGAAAGTCGTTGCTTCTGATTGCGCCATAGATTCGTTTCCTCGGAATAACAACGCCTGAAACAATAAAAGACATAGTTTGAAGAACTATGATAATTGTTCAGATAAAATACGTTATTTTAGGAATAAATTTGTGGCTGTCTCGTCGACACATTTTCGTTTTAACCCTTCGGGACTGAGATCAGGGTTTTCCTGTCTTCAGCCAGGACGGCATAAAACTGACTCAGTTGCGTCTATTCCTAGCGACTCCCCGCTCAACGGAAGGGTATTTGGTCGCACAGACGCCTTGGGGAAATGTTTGCCCCTGTCCACACGTACGTGTCTGGGAGGGGCACATGTTAAGTTAGAATCGGTGTCATTTTTTTCTTTTGGCCTTGTGAAATTATGGAGAGGTGGGGGGGGGTTGCTAATAAAATATTTCGAGTATCACATTCACACTGTGATTTCTCTTGTTGTTAAAGGACGCATTTATCTTGCTGGTAATGACTTCAGAGAAAATTAAATGTCAAAAATAATCAGTTATTTAAGGCGACACTTTTTCTTGAGGATATATTTTTATTTTTTTTAAATGTCTTATCTATTGAAGACGCAAAAATCAATCAGTGATAGACTGATTCGTATTTCACGACTTAACAACCAAATAGTTTTATTGCTTCAAAGGTTTTTTTTTACGGCTTATCAACCCTTTATGGGATATTTAAAGCTGAAAAACTTGAGATTATTAGAATAATTTTCTTGATTTTTTTTTTTTGGGAGGGGGAATGAATATTGTATTACCAAGTCTTTGAGAATAAAAATAATTTTTCTAGATACTATTTAACCCATAGCTGGGAGGATGAGATTCTAAATCAAACAAGTGCAGATATTTAACTATCTAGGAAATGCTTTAACATGAAATGTAAAATGTGACACTTTAATCTGATCGTGCATTGGAATAGAGAAAGATGGCTTCACAAAGCTAAGTAATCTATTAAAAAGCTAGAAATTTTTTTTATTAAAAACAAAGAAAAGAGTGCTAAACTGCTATGTAATATAAATCCTCCGAAATGGCAGTGAAAAATCCATCTTGTATATTTCTAAACTTTGGAGGGGATAATATGTACGGATATGAGGAAAAAGTTTTCGTATGACGTGTTTCGTTATTTAAGTCTTCAATCGAACTAGGTTTATGAACAAACTCTATGTTCTTGATATAATATATATATATATATAATATATATATATATATATATATATATTATCCCATATATATATATATATATATATATATATAACATTATCCCATATATATATATATATATATATATATATATATATATATATATATATATATATATATATATATAACATTATCCCATATTTACAAATATCTATCATTCTTTCAAGTGTATTTAATATCTGGTGCTCCGACTATAGGTTTTCAAAAGAATACAAAGAATTTTCTACAATGTTATCAGTCCTGTTATTGTTTAGCACTATATCAAACTCCCTGGGTTGGTTAATGTCAAAATCTAAATATTTTAAACAATTTTATTTTATCTAAATAGTTTATTTTATTTTGGAGATAATAATGATTTAATAATAAAAGTCTGACTAATTAACAAATTGCTGCGGGATAAGAGAAGGATTAATACTAAGAGTATTTGTGTGAAAGTGAATATAAAATACTCGACTGGAATTAGAACTCTGCTCTCCGATTAAGTATTCTGAGTCATTATCAATTACACAGACCGCAGTTCCAAACATACAGCATCTGGTACGACCGAGCGGACACCCATCTAGGTACAGGCCAGGATCGACGTTGCTTAACTTCAGTGATTATACGAAAATCGATGTTTCAACTTGATGGGTTCGTAATCCTTACCACCTCCATATCCAAGCTTATAGTACCTTGTATTCCCAAGCGGACACCCGTCTAGGTATTGACCACACTCGATGTTGCTTAACTTCAGTGATCGTACAAGAATAGGTGTTTCAACGTGATGGGTCCGTAATTCTTACCACCTTCACATCCAAGTTAACATCACCTGTATTCCCAAGCGTACACCCATCCTGGTAGTGACCAACCTCGAAGTTGCTTAACTTCAGTGAACGTACGAGAAACGGTGTTTCAACGTGGTAGGTCCGTAATTCTTACCACCCGCATATCAAGCTTACAGTACCTGGTATTCCCAAGTGGACACCCATGTAGGCACTGACCAGCCCTAACGTTGCTTAACTTCAGTGATTGTACGCGAATAGGTGTTTAATCTCTGAGGGGTCCGTATTCCTTACCACCTGCAAATCCAAGCTTACAGTACCTGGTATTCCCAAGCGAACACCCATGTAGGCCTTGACCAGCCTTAACGTTGCTTAACTTCAGTGATCGTACGAGAATAGGTGTTTAATCTCTGATGTGTCCGTAATCTTTACCACTTGCAAATCCAAGCTTACAGTAACTGGTATTCCTAAGCGGACACCCATCTAGATACTGACCAGACTCGAGGTTGCTTAACTTCCATGATCGTACGAGAATTGGCGTATCCGTAAGCAGTATTTCATTGATTCGTTGATTCATTTTCTACGGCTTATCAATCCTTTTTTAAATATTTTTAGATTATAAGAATTTGGTTTAGTGTAGTGATACAAGTCTTACTAATTTACCCATAGCTGGGGGAGCGGAGTTGGATTCATAGCTTTTCTAAGGGTATTTGTACGTAAGGGTATATAATGAACCCAACTGGAATTGAAATTCCTCTCCCAGATTAACAAGTTAGAACCATTATCTATTACACTGCCCGCACATCAGGGCGTACAGCATATGGTATCCCAAAATAGTCGCCGATCTAGGTACTGACTAGGATCGACGTTGCTTAACTTATGTGATCGTACGAGAATTAGTGTTTGAATATAATGTGTCCACAAGCCTTTTCTTTTTCTTTTTAATTGATTAATCGATTCCTTTTCTGCGGTTTATCGACATTTTGCATTGAATATTACTACCATTATCTGATCTGGTGATCTGGTGATCTGGCTATACATCTGGAGATTCTCAAAAGAATCCCAAGAATGTTCTGTAATGTTATCGGTCCTGACCTGGCATCTCGGCTTCAGTCACTTTCTGAGCGACTGTTTGGTTAAACTCTCTTCCTACGGGCGGGAGGAACCCGAAGGAGGCTACGCCGAAGGGCGGAGTCTCCTTCGGAGAGGTTAAAACCGGCCCTGAACCCGTTTATACGGGTTCAAATGGGCTATTTTTTGGCTCGGGAATGCCCACGTTAAAAAGGCCTTGTGCCACATGACACCCTCGTGGGGGGGGTGACTGAATATTGTCACTTTCCCACTGCAGTGACGTTGCTTATATTTTCCTATTCTATGGCATATATGGGTTGGTATCGAACATTAAAACATAAACATGATCTTTTTTCATGTTGCCGTGTCCCTTAGGGACGTGACCGATCATGGCTCTCCCCAATTTCCTTTCTTTTGCAGTTCTTAGTAATGTTTATCTGTTTATCATATATACTACTCTTTGTTCCATTTACATAAGCTCTTAATGAAGGTTACCCGCTGCCTAAGACAGTCACTTTTGCACTTGATGCATCCTGTGAGTGTCAAATTTTCCAAGCACCCTTTCCTCAGAAATGTTTCAATTCTTCACATTGTTTACAGGCTCCACTCAGGATATTCTCAACATTGTTCTCTGGAACCACATCTCTGTTGTTTCAAGTCTCGTCTTCATCTTTTCTTGTTTTAATCATCCCCACCCCCAAGACGTAAGTGGTTACTGAGAATGAAAGACTTTAGCGAAGATAAAAGGATAATTAAAAAAACAAATTTCAAGAAGACAGAAGATGGCAATTGGTGTTTCATTTAAATTTTAGGTAGGTGTCAGAAAAGCAAGAAACAGGAAGAGAGTTCCACAGGTAAGAAGTTCGAGAGGAGAAACTACTAGACCAGGACTTGCCGTTATCTCTCTATATAAAACAGAAGATGTCTGTGTGTTTATCTGGCAACTGTATTCAAAATATTTATATTTCCGCATTAAACAACCCATATAGTTTGATAGGCCGCTAAACAAAATCAACTAACCAACAATAAATTTTTATAGTAAAATTATCGACAATATTTATTTATAGTAAAATTACCAATAATACATTTTTAAGCAAAATGACCAACAGTACATTTTATCTGTAGTTGAAGGCATACAATTGAGTTCAAAATATTTATATTTCCGCATTTAATAAACCATAGAGGTGTTGATAAAACGTTAAACAAAATCAACAAATAAATGTGTTAAAGCAATCAAATATTTCAAACAATAAATTTCATCATATATTAAACTGAGTCACATATAATTTCCGCTCTTTTAATATTATCGACTTGATTCTTATAAAATATAATTGTACTTTTTAAAATGTTATTCACTTTATATGGCAATGATGGTGAACGTTCTCCCCACAGATGACGCAAAAACTAAACTCAGAAGAAATGTGATTCTACAGAAGGATACTGAGACTATTATGACGGAAAAGTTTAAGCAAAACGAAAGAACGTTTCTACTCAAAGTCAGGAAAAGACTGCTGAAATTTATTGCATACATAGAGGAAGGAAGGATTGCTAATGTTAATACTCACGAGCCATAGTTAGGGCGAAAGAGATAAGTGATGGCAGTGAGTCACTTACCTGGCGAGCCACTTTGTGAGTTTGTGTTTATCGACGGTTGAAATGGAGGGAGAAAACGGCTAAAGACACGTGCTATAGAAAGTTGTGGAGAGATCGCCAATGTTTTGAAGGGATGGGGCACATATTTTAAGAAAGATATGCCTACCATTAACTGCATTAACGTCTTGCCACTTATCACTTTTTTGAGTAAAGTTTCGCAGTCTTTGACGCGAAGAATGTTTTTTGGCAAAATCTTGAACCTAATTTTCATTAAAGAAAGTTTTCATAAATCCCAGCAGTTTGCAGAAAAAAAAAGACAATAATGAGTTGGTGCAAGGTCACCTGAATATTGCAGGTTCTTCAGAGCGGACCAACTAAACTCTTTCCCCTTTTATTCTTGGTGTATGCTGCCTTATCTTAACAGGGAAGTGAACAATATTTTATTTCCCATTGGCTCTTTTCCAGCAAACTTTTTACGGACAGGTTGCAGCTGCTGGACATATAAATGTGCATTTATTGTTTCTAAGTGTTCTAAAAACTCTAAATGAATAATGTCCCCGACAATCCTATCAGATGCTTAACATTAACTTTCTGCCATGCAGCTCAGATTTTCGTGTTGGTTTTATAGACATATCCTTGTTGATCAGCTGCCTTTTGCGTTAAACATTGCTGTACGTTAGCCATTATTCATCGCCTGTTATGATAAATTTAGGGGACTGTTAGAATGATATATTCATTATTACACTTGATTCCCAAAAATGAAATTAATTAGTAATTCAGCCCAATATATATTATAATCAACACTCTGCAATGAAAATATTAATACATGAAAGGTTAAATTAATTTAGTAATCTAATCTTTAACACAGTGTAATACACACACACACACACACACACACACACACACAGACACACACACACATATATATATATATATATATATAGTCCATGACATTTTTTTCTGTTTTTGCTGAAAGATTTCTTTCTTTTCATTATTCTGCAATGTTTGTTAACCAAAATATATGTAAAAAAAGAAACTTTTTAATATATTTATTATATTTTTCTAATGAAGATTAACAATGATATAAAACCTCAATTAATATTATACTCATGATGCATGGATAATAATTTGATAGAGATAAGCTGCTAGTAATCTTGGAAATATTGTAAAAAAAAAATGAAACTGTTATTTATTCATCTGAGTTATTTACATTGGTAGGATAAATACAGAATGTTAAAGGCTAAAAGGTTTATGACAAATAAAATATTTAAAATTTCCCCATTTCATCCGTTATAAACAAAAATAATTCTAATATAAACAAAAAGATATTGTTTCATAATTAGATAATTAAGTTAAATTTTCTTCAACTTTCTTCAGCTATTTTCATTATTTGTCGGCGCTCCCGAACGAACACAATACGACATAACGCATGGTTTGATGGTTATCCCCCTTGGTTTAGGCATATTTACCAATACGTCGTTAGACGGCGTTGTTAGACAGCTATAAAAACAAAGACGCTTATAATTAATATCAGAAAGCGAGAGTTGAAACTTCCATGGTATATAATGAGGAAAGAGGGTTTGGAAAATGTTATACTTATAGGACGGATTGATAGGAAGTTGGGCTGAGGAAAACAACAGATAACCTACCTAGCGTTCCACTCTTTTTTTTCCTTCTAGCATGAAGTAGTAGCAACACCAACACGGGACTTTGTTCCAGGTATAGGAGATATCTTACACTTTGCGACTGAACTTTCACCTCCCCGCAAAAAATTCATACGCATTTACATTTAAAGACTTCTTTCTTTAGCAAGTACATTTATTACTCAGTTAGATGAAAATATCGCCTTTCTGAAATTCCTTTCATTTCCTTACACTTATGCTGACAATAATGACCCGTCGTTTAAGGGTTTAATTTTTGTCTGCGGCTGCTTTTAGTCAAACTAGGAACTGTAGCAATCCCTCTCATCCTCGTGATTACAAAAGAAAAATACCTCAGATTATCTCCCTTTCAAAGCCTAATCAAGCATTTTGTCTATAGTCACTTTCTCACATTCCTGATGTGGCTTAACTCTGTCTTTTCTACAAATATTTTCATGGCAACTCCTCTGACGAGCTATTTTCATTTTCTGTTTTCTAATTCTTACACGCCCAGCAGCTTCGTGTATCTTAGTGGCTTTACTACCTTTCTTATGATGATCTCGATTAATATATATATATATATATATATATAAATTAACATTTTAAAAGACAGCAAAATTTAATTTGCAGATCTGGGTTGGGTTAGATTGGATTGGTAGTTCTTACGACATATAAAACCTTCTTGGGTAATTTTTATGTCGAAATCAGTTTTTATTATACTTGAGTTTATAGATAAACATGCGCCTTGTTTATACTTGAGCTTATATATTTGACTCTATAGGTAAACATTAGTTGTTTACACCTCAGTCTATAGGTAAACATTGGTCGGGTTTATACTTAAGCCTACATGTAAACATTGATTAGGTTTATACTCACGTCTATAGGTAAACATGGGTAGAGTCAATCTTTTTGTTTATAGGTCAACAATTGTTGTGTTTATACGTACGTTTTTAGGCAAATTTTAGGTCGTGTATATACTTGATTCTTTAGGGAAACTTTGTTCGTCTTTATACTTGAGTTTTTATGAAAAGCTGGAGTGTCTACATACGTGAGCCTATTGGAAAAGCTTGTTTCTCTTTATACTAGAGATTTTAGGAAAATCTTATTGGTTTTTATTCTTGAGCCTATAGGAAAACCTCGTTTTTTTTATACTAGAGCCTATAGGAAAACTATGTTCATCTTTATACTTGAGTATTTAGGAAAACTTTGTTTGTCTTTATACTTGAGCCTATATAAAAACCTT